ATCTGTATCTCTTTTTTTCCACACCAAAAATCTTGGTTTTCAAGAATAGAGGGGGTTAGGAATTAGAATAGCCTCATTATTATTTTCTTTTTTTTTAAAAATAAATCTTTTTTTTTAAAAACAAATCCCTCCATTGCTCCCTCCACCAGGTTCCCACCCCACCCTCTGCCCTTTCCCCACCCCCATTGTCCTCATCCATAGGTGCACAGTTTTTGTTCAGTCTCTTCCCGCACCCCCACTCCATTTCCCCCCCAAGAATCGTCAGTTCACTCCCCTTCCATACCTCTGATTCTATTATATTCACCAGTTAATATTGTTCATCAGATTTTTTAATTCTCTTGGTTTTTAGTTTCACTTGTTGATAGTTACATATTTGTTGTTCAGAATTTTTATCTTTATCTTCTTCCTCTTCCTAAAGAATAATTCTGGTTTGGCAGTGATGAACTCCTTTAGCTTTTTTTTTTATTAGTGAAGCTCTTTATCTGGCCTTCGATTCTGAGTGATAGCTTTGCTGGGTAGAGTATTTTTGGCTATAGGTTCTTGCTATTCATCACCTTGAATATTTTTTGCCATTCCCATCTGGCCTGCATGGTTTCTGTTGAGAAATCAGCTGACAATTGTATGGGTGCTTCTTTATAGATAACTACCTGCTTTTCTCTTGCTGCTTTTAATATCTCTCTTTGTCTTTTGCTCTTGGAATTTTAATTATGATTTGTCTTGGTGTGGTCCTCTTTGGATTCCTTTTGTTTGGGGTTCTGTGCACTTCCTGGACTTGTAAGTCTATTTCTTTCCCCAGGTGCGGGAAGTTTTCTGTCACTATTTTTTCTAATATGTTTTTGGTTTCTTGCTCTCTCTCTTCTTCTAGAACCCCCATAATTCTGATGTTGGTTCACCTGAAATTTTCCCAGAGGTTTCTTACAGTATCTTCAACTTTCTGGATTCTCTTATCTTCTTGCTTCTGTGGAGGAGTGTTTTCTGGCTCTTTATGTTCCAAATCTTGTCTTGATTCTTGGGATCTTCCATTCTGTTTTTAGGACTCTGTATAATATTTTTTATTTCAGACAACGTATTCTTCATTTCTAGTTGATCCCTTTTTGTATCCTCAAAGGTCTCATTTATTTTATCGGCCTTATCTAGGAAATTCTTGAAAAACCTTATAACTGTGGTTTTGAACTCAATGTCCATTCTTTTACTTTCCTCCATTTCCTTCTTTTGTGTCCTGCTTCTTCTCTGCATTTTAGTTGTTTCCCTGATTTGATGGAATAGTTTTGTGTGCTAGGTGTCCTGGCAGAGCCCAGTAGCACAGCCTTCCCAGTTACCTAAGGTAGAAAGTCTTGGTGCAGCCCTTTGTGGGATGAGTGTACAGTCTTGTTGTTAAGCCTTGTTTATTGTTGGTATCACTGGGAAGCGTTGATCTCCAAGCCAATTGGCTGTGAGGATCAGCAGTGTCTCAGCTAGTAGGACTTCTGTGCTCCTCTTGGATGGGGCAGAGTCTCGGGATGGCGCAGACAAGCTTTGGTTCCCCATCAGTCCCACCTTAGGAAAGTCCTATTAGCGGCGAGTCCTGCAAAACTGGCTGTATACGTGTGCACTTCTTGGAGAAAGGCTGTTCTCAAGTTTTGCCTGCTCCCTGACAGCCAGTTTTTTGTTTTTGTTTTTGTTTTTAATATATATTTTATTGATTTTTTACAGATAGGAAGAGAGAGGGATAGATAATTAGAAACATCAATGAGAGAGAATCATCGATCAGCTGCCTCCTGCACACCCCCCACTGGGGATGTGCCCACAACCAAGGTACATGCCCTTGACCAGAATCGAACCTGGGACCTTTCCATCCACAGGCCAAAGCTCTATCCACTGAGCCAAACCGGTTTCAGCTGACAGCCAGTTTTTCCCCCCTGGCTCAGAGATGTCTCTCAGTGCAGTTGGGAGGTTGTTTTGTTTTGTTTTGTTTTGTTTTGTTTTGTTTTGTTTTCTCTCGAACGAGAAAGCTAGCCACTGAAGGGTTTCTGTGCTCCTCTTGGATGGGGCGGAGTCTCGGGGTAGTGCAGACAAGCTTTGGTTTTCTGTCAGCCCCTCCCTAAGAAGATCCAGTTCCTGTGTCCTGCTGTAATGGCTGTTTGCCACGAGCACCTCCGAGAGAGCTTTGCCTATTGCTTGACAGTCCTGCCTCTCCCTGACTGGGGCTGTCTATCAAAGCAATAGGGTGGTTCTGTTTTCCTCCTGAACAAGAAAGCCAGCTTCTCGTTAGCTGCCTGCCCTCTCCCTCTCTGTGTACTGCGAGTAAGCCAGCAGTGAACTCGGTGGCCACCTTTTCCTCATGCACAGATCTCTGCTGCACCTCCACAGTTCCTAAGGCTCAGCGTCCCTCCTCTACCCTTCCCAGATGGTAGAGCTTCCTCTCAGCCAGCCGTCTGGTGTTTCAGGGCAATGTGTCCTCTGTTTTCCAGTTGTAAATTTAAAATTGTTGTGGTAGGCTGCATTTAGGAGTCTACCCTATGCTGCCATCTTGGTTTCTCCTAGAATAGCCTCATTATTAATTGCTCATTTATTTTACCCTAAATTACCATATAGTCTCAAAATAAAAATATTAATATTAATACCAATATAATTATTGATAACTTACATAAATTGTGCATATACCATCCCCATTTCTTTCTCAATATTTTTTTAGAAAAAAGGTTGACAAAATCTTTCATTTTTTAGTGTTTTAGTTTAAACTGCATAATTCAGTGGTTTTTAGTATATGCTGTACACCTGAAAATAATATAACATAATATTGAATGTAAACTATAATTGAAAAATAGCATAAAAAGTTATACAAACATCACCATTATATAATTCCAGGATATTTCTATCACTCCTAAAAGAAACCCTGTACCTTCCTTTATTTCATCCCCTGGCTGCTGGCAATCACTAATGTACTTTCTGTCTCTATGAATTTGCATGTTCTGGACATTTCATATAACTGGGATTATATAATATGTGGCCCTTTGTGACTGGTTTCTCTCATTTAGCATGATGTTTTCAGGCTCATCTGTGTTATAGTACAGGAAACAAGTTATTTTTTTAAGTAAAAAAATGAATCAGTAATGAATGATTTGGCATCTTTAACTCTGTGGATAGAGCATCAGCCTGTGGACTGAAGGGACCCAGGTTTGATTCTGGTCAAGGGCATGTACTTTGGTTATAGGTTCGATTCCCAGTAGAAGGCATGCAGGAGGCAGCCGATTGATAATTCTCGCTCATCACTGATGATTCTCTCTCTCTCTCTCTCTCTCTCTCTCTCTCTCTCTCTCTCTCTCTCTCTCTTTCTCTCTCTCTCTCTCCCTTTTTCTCTGAAATCAATAAAAATATATTTAAAAAAAGAAATCTAGGCCACAGTCTGCTTGTGTGGCTGACAACCAAAGGCCTTGTTCTCCATCTATGATTAGCGTTGGGTTCTAATATGGCTGCAGGACCTAAGCCAGATATGACTAGTGAGGAATAGATCACAACTTTTGAACTTCTCTCTCTCTACCCTGACCAGAACCTACCCAAGTGAGACCTTTGAGGAAGGCTATGCACAGTTGTCCCAAAGACCCAGTAATTTTTCCCACCATTCCTCACCTCAAGGTTCTGGACCTCACCCTCCTATATGTATCTGCCTGGTCACAATGAGTAGGATAATGTGCTTATGATTCAGCAACTTGGGAGGCTCTCAAAGGCAGGAGTCATGTTTTACTCACTTTCTATCCCCCAGTGCCTGGTCCAGAGAATGCTGTTAATTAATGTGTGTTCTGTCCCCAACCAGGTTGTGAGCTGCCTGAGAAGAGTGGCTTTACCTTCTAACCACCTACTTTTCTTCTCCTATAGTAAAACTAGACACAAGATAGAGAGCAGGGTGGGAGTGTAGATGAGCAATGGTTTAATTCAAGATTCAAAAATCTCCACTATAGGACTTCTGCATAATATCTTTATTTAGCTCAGAAAGATGTTTCCTACACATTTCTAGATATGTGGATATGAATTTTTTCTATCACATTTAGTAAGTTGTTTTTAAGCATTTACATATAATAAATGCAAACAAGCAAGTACAATACAGGCTAAAATGAAAAGTTCTTTGCTTACAAACATTTTTAAAAGACATGTTAATACAAGGTATAGAGAAATGAAACCAATAGAAGGTAATTGAATTACCATCCCCTAATTCACAATCTGATCCTGGTTCCTCAATATAGGACTCTCTCTGCTCTTTCCTCTTCTAACACCCAAGTCCCTAGCTGCTCCTGGACAGGAACAGAGGCTGCCTAAGGCTGGAGGCAGCACTGTTCCTATCTGCAGAAAGAAAGGGAATCCCCCAGGCACATGTGGTCCTACTCATGTGGTCAGATTCTTCAGCCTTGTTCAAGTGGGGAGTCCATCTCTGTGCCAGTATCCTGGGCTGCCTCTTCTCTTCACTTTTGATGGTCCCAATTGTTAAAGAGCCTTGGTGTGGCTTGTTCTAAATTTTTCTCATGCCAGTCAGCCCCCACAGAAAACCAGCTAGATGCTGGGCCCAGGGACTTCCAAGGAGCTCCAGAGGGCTGATAACCTCCTAACCTTATCAGACCTCCTAGCTCAAGCACTATATCAGAAGGCTCCATCAGCTCCTACACTGTCAACTGTCTGCATTCAGTATGCAGAGGGGAAAGTCAGGGTGGGGTATATGCACAATATTTTAGGATTGCCTGCAGCCAGACAGCAGAATATCAGCCAGTCCAGTATTTATGGTTTTCAAGCCAAAGCCTAGACCTCCCTGGGCCATCCCCCTGGCCTGTCTGGGCAGCCAGGCCAACAAGACAGTTATGGGCCATACTTCAATTGGTGTACCTGTTCAGGACTAGTGGGAGGGACATGATATGGAAGGTAGGGGGATCTCATTGTGGACATGTGCTTGGCTTTACATCCTTCTAGTACCACCAGAGACACAAGCCTGAGTGGCTTTTACAGATACAAGGATCTGCAGGGCTCTCAGCCACCTAAGAGCGAACTTGCACCTGGAAGTGCTCACAGTGGGCATGCTTCATGGTCAGCCCATAGATGGGGGTCATGTCCACCTTCACGCCTGGTGACATGCTGAATTCTACTTGCTGCAGCATGATTGCCAGGAAGAGAAAGACCTCGAAGCGGGCAATGTTTTCACCAATGCATCTCCGCTTGCCGAGGCCAAAGAGAATCACCTGCTCACTCAGTGCTTTGTTGATAGTGCCATTGGGGGTGAGAAAACGTTCTGGTCGGAACTCAGATGGGTCATCCCATAGTTTCCTGTAATCAGAGTGAGTAACTGAAGAGGCAGCTCAGAAGCAGGTAGCGGGTTGAACCACAGCCCACAAGAGTAGGGGATAGGCAAATGGCCAGGGACAGCAGGGTCTGAAATTCAGGAGAGGGCGGGGTTTCTGCTGCCCCATATCAACTTACTGGTCATGGTTGATCTGCCACTGGTTCACAAAGACACAACGCCCCTTGGGGATGTAAAAGCCACTCAAATTTGTGTTTCTGGTAGTACTGGGGAGAGAGGAAGCTCAGTTAAGCTCAGGGCCACAATGAGATCCCTTTACCTCCATACCATGTCCCTCCCACCAGCCCTGATTAGGTACAGGGACTGAAGTAAGGCCCAGTATCAGACAGAAGTAGTTCCATGGGGCCTCACCTGTGGGGGATGGTGAAGGGGACAAAGGAAGAGTGTCGGAAGGTCTCCAGGATAAAGGCCTCCAGATAGGGCAGCTGGGGTCTGTCAGAGAGCTGTGGCCGTCGTACCCTCCCAACCACTGTGTCTGCAGGGCACAAAGGACCAGACAGATGAAGGTGCCTCCCATACCATGGCTGGGTCCCCTGCATTGAGCACTTTGAAGGAGGTCAGCACCTACCAAGTTCCTCCTGGATCATTTTCTGCACACCGGGATGTGTAACCAGGTACATTAGGCTCCAAGAGATGGCAGTTGTGACTGTGTCAAACCCTGGCCAGAAAAGAACAGGGGGAGAAGTTTGGCAGATGGGGTAGGGTAGTTGAGTACAGGAAAGGCAAATGGGGTAGCTCATACCAGCTCCAAAGAGGTCCAAGACGACATTAACAATCTTCTCGTCTGACAGTTGGGTATTGGCGTTTTCATCCAGCTTCTTTTCCTGACAGTGTTCGATCAGGCTGTCTGTGATATCTCGGATGTGGCCCTGAGTACAGAGGACCCACGAGTGAGCAAGATTCCAAACCCAGACCTACCTCTCCATCCAGATCGGGTCCCTTACCATCCCTAGTATCTTTGTTCAAGAGATGACACTTCAACTCACACACCCAAGGCTGTCATCCCAGCTTCTCTCTGCCTGTCCAAGGCTCTCTCCTGCCACAACTCAAGGGAAACCTGACAGACAGAGTCTGGTACCATTATCATCTGGACATATACTTTACCCTTGTGTGTGTGTGTGTGTGTGTGTGTGTGTGTGTGTGTGTGTGTATTGATTTCAGAGAAGAAGGGAAAGGGAGAGATAGAAACATCAATGATGAGAGAGAACCAATAGCGCTTCCCAATGTCACTCTGTGATTTCCATATACACCTGTGCCTCCTGTACCCCCCTCATAGGGGATCAAACCCACAACCTGGGCAAGTGCCCTCACCGGGAATTAAACCATGACTTCCTGATTCATAGGTTGATGCTCAACCACTGAGCCACACTGGCCGGGCCTCTTTACCCTTTTTTCTCCCATGAGGCCAGGAGACTAACTTTTTAATTCTTCCTAGTCTCTATAACTTGCCTAGATACAGCATGGACTGGTTATTCAGTAAATATTTCTGTCTGACAGAAGGATAAAATGACTGGTCAAGATAAGGTTCTATTCCCCTCCCATGGATGGAGTCCTATACATTACTGACTTCAAAATCCCAGGGTGAAGGCTCCCGAAAGTCTGCAAAACCTCATGCTGCTCGAGTTATCACTGACCACCTAACCCCTGACCCTACCTGCTCCTAACCACCCACCTGCCTCTCCCCAGTCTGTACCTTCTCAAACGTTTTATAGTGTTCCTTAACCATCTTTTGTATGAAGATGTAGATCTTCTTATTCAGGTCCTTGAAGATATTCAGGGCAGAGTTGGGCAGGTAACGAAGGATAGGGAAGAAGTCCGTTGGGTTTCCAGAAGCAACCACCTCCCCAAACTCATTACTCAGGTTGACTATGCTAAGTAGCTCTTGATCATCATGGTCATAGCGCCGACCAAAGCACATGGCACATATGACGTTGGCCACTGACACCACTACATACCTGTAGGGGTCAAAGTGTCCAACCCTTGCCATCAGCTCCTGGAATTTGCTGATGAGGACCTCAGCCTCCTTGCTCACATGTTCCTCTAAGTAGCAAGAAGATGAGGAAGTCGGGTCTGAAGCAATAGAGAAACTCTTCAAGGCATTTTGGGCAAGACGCCGGCGGGCAGCCCACACCGGTCCAGAGTCTGGGTTAAAGGTCATGCTCTGGCCATCAGAGATGAGGGTGAAGCTGTAGAAGTCAGGCCGGCCCTTGAAATCATCAGCCTGCCGCACCAGGGCCTGCCGGATGGTGTCCAGGCCACTGAGCACCAGCACAGGTGTGCTGCCAATGCGGATCTCTAGCACATCCCCATAACGCTGGCTCAGCCGTGACAGCGCCAGGTGTGGGTTCTTCCCCAAGGTCAGTACGTGTCCAAGAAGGGGCCAGCCCCAAGGTCCTGGGGGACTCTTCAAGCCTTTGGGAACCCGAGGCTTCCAGGCTCTGAACACCCAGAATACTAGGCAGAAGGTGATGGAGGCCAGGAGAAGTTCTGTGGCTGAGATGGGGATGGAAGATCCAAACACACAAAGCATGATCAGCGTAGAGATGGCAAGGTGGCCACTGAAAGGTGAACAAGAGGGAAATATCAAGACATCATATAGGGGATTAAGAGGAACCAATATCCTAAAGTATCAGCATGCCGACTAAGAGGAAACCTTATCTAGAACTGCTCACTGAGCATGAAGGGGAGGAGGAGGTGAGAGAAGCTATAGTGCTGCCACTGTGTGCCAAGAATTCCATATTCTTTATTCTGCCTGGACACAGCCTATGAGGTAGGCTGAAGTAAGGCTCAGAGAAGGTAACTAACTTGCTCAAGGTCGCATAGCCAGGAAGTTTTAGATCCACATGTTCAACCCAAATTGTTTAATTCCAGAACACCCTCTCTTATCTGTCACTATGCGATTTCCATATACAAATGCACTATTACTTTCTCCACATTTTTCTAAAATCAACTTTAAATCTACGCAAACAATCATCTGTGTGAAAGTACAGGTTTGACTTTTCCCCCTGACATATGTTAAAATAAACACGTAATTGATATGCATCACCTAAATCCCCCTGCGTAGTTCTCACCACACTTAGGGAAACACTGCTATTGGGAGAACTAGGCATCAACCACTCCTTTAACCTCATTTCACATTTGGGGAAATTGATTTTCAGAGGATGCAATGACTTGGCTAAAATTACCCAGCAACCAGTGACTGAGCTAGGATTCAAACCTCTTAGCAAAAGTTCTCTGGGAGATTTTCAGCTCCCTCTGTTTTATTTTATTTTATTTTATTTTTTGTTTTAAAATATATTTTATTGATTTTTACAGACAGAAAGAGAGAGGGATAGAGAGTTAGAAACATCAATGAGAGAGAATCATCCATCAGCTGCCTCTTGCACACCCCCTACTGGGGATGTACCTGCAACCAAGGTACATGCCCTTGACCAGAATCGAACCCGGGACCTTTCAGTCCGCAGGCTGAAGCTCTATCCACTGAGCCAAACCGGTTTAGGCGCTACCTCCCTGTGAAGAGTGTTCCCAGAACCATCAGTACTCTCCTGCTCAACTCCAGGGTCTAGGGTATCCTGCCAGAATCTGGAATAGGGTGGGAAGGGAATGGGGATAAGAAGACCACTGTCAAGCCACATGGCTCTCAGCCCCAGCTCTCTGTTTAAAAGCAGCTGGATACCAGTTAGATTGAGGTCCCAGTCACAGAAATCTAGGCCAGAGTCTTCGTTGGGCTCAGTTCTTACTGAAGAGCCACTCAAGATGGAGCGGTTGGCTGTAGGGTTCCTACCTCAAGTACTATAGCTGTCTGTGTAGGGAGGCTTCCTGGAGGAGCTGGATCCCAAAGCACACACACAAAAGTCCTGGCTCCCTAAGTGAACTGGGAACACTGCTAGGCCTTGGCATGCCATTGTGTCCCTTGCACACATTGGGTGCCCCAAGGACCTCCAGCCATACTTAGTAAGATGGTAGGAGCCCAATAGATATGTGACGGGTGAGTTACCAAGGACTGGTGGTCAAGCTCCCTGAAGCTGACAGTCCCTCACACTGACTTCTCCCCAACAGACGCCAGAGAAGACAGTCAACAGGATAGGGAGGGCAGTGCCTGGGACTCTTGCTCCGATCTCTTGTCTGAGTCACCACATCTTGGCTCTGAAAAGCCATTATTTGGGAGGGTAGAGCCAGCCAGGGGTAGCTTTTAGATAAGGTAGGTACAGCTGGTAAGAACACAACCTGCCCCCTCCATTCACCTGACAACCCAGGGAGAAGCCCTCTTCATCACAAACCCTGAGGAGAGGCTATATATGCACCCAGCTTAGGTAAACTGTGTTCTTATTCCACACATCCAGGTGACTCTGGTGGGGAAGGCCCAAGGCATTTAGAGAGCCATTGGCTGATAAAACTGGAGTCTGGGTCCAATAGCCTAAAAGAGGTCCATCTGGATCTAGAGTTCTGATACTAGCTGTGGGACATTGGGCAAGTCCTGCCCTTCTCTTGGCCTCAGTTGCCCCTTTAGGAAGCTTGACTGCTTGGTCAGTAAGGTCACTCCTAGCCTTCTTTTTTGAGGTGCTAGATGTAGGAAGACCTGGAGGCATCCAAATTTTCCTTCTATTGGGAGGAGAGGGGCAAGCCAGAAGTCCCCAGCACTCACCTGTGGTTGTGAGGAGGTGCTGAACTGCTGGGAAGAGTGGTTTTAGAAGCCAGGACCCCAAAGAAGATCAAGGAAGGCTCCAGGCAACTGTCACCTTCTGGGTGAGGGTGAAGGCACAACCAACTTTATAGGCAGCTTGCGCGTGGCCACGCCCCTTGGCGCCGGTTGCAACTAAGGGAGGGGCGGCCTGAGAGGGAATGGTCGCTCTAGGGTGGGTGGGAAGTGGAGGAGAGGAGGCACGTGCACAGGGAAGAACCCACTGTGGGGACGCCTCTTCCTAGTGCCCACACGTAAAAAGGTGAGGGCTTGGGGATACCTGGGATCTCCAGTTCCAAGGTAACCCTTGGACAGCACAGAGCCCAGGTGAGGCAGGGGTTTGGGGAGAAGTCCCAGCACAGCCCGAAAAGAAGGGATGGGGACCTCCTACCCGGGCATGGGGACGCTTCACCCTCATTTTTGTACCCACTAGACCTGCAGTGCCCCCCCCCTCTCCTACACACACACACACACACACACACACACACACACACACACACACACACTACTAGCGGACCGAGGCCAACAAGCAGGGGCGGGGCTGCCGGGTGGTGACCTCCTTTTCCCGGTGTACTGAGTCCGGGCTCGCGTGAGAAGCGCGGCGACCCTGCCCCCAGGTCACCGGGGCCGGAAGGCCAGTGGCGCCAACGGGCTGTCCTCCCCCACCCAGCGTCCACAGAGCCCGGGCCAAAGACCCGCGCCCCTGCCCGGGAGCGGAACGGAGCAGGTGCATCCCTCCCAGCGCCCACTCGCTGCTCGGCGCCCCCTCGGCCGGGCCCCGCCCGCCCCAAGTTCCCTCTCGGCTCCCGGGGTCCCGGGGTGCTGGCGCTTTGGCACAAAACCCGGGCGGCGAGGCTGACTGCGCGGCCAGCTCCGGGAGGGCGAGAACGGGGTGAGAGCGGCCCCAGGCCGGCGCCGGGCCATCCTCCGCGCGGAGGCCACGTGGCCCCTCCCCCGCTCGCGCGGCCCGGGTGGAGCGCGGCGGTCGCGTGAGAAAGCCTGGGAGTCCCGCGCAGCCACCCGGAGCGCAACGTCGCGGCCCTGGTGGGTCCGGCGCAGTCACGCGAGGGGGAAAGGGGCGCCGGGGCGGGCCTCGGAGGGAGGGAGGGGAGTGGCGGGCCTGGAAGAGGTGCTATTGGAGGCGGAGGTGGGGCGGTGCACCGCGCCCGCCCGGGTTCGCGTGCGGAGCCCGGGGTTTGCCTGCGAGCGGCCGCCTGCCTGTGTCCGTGCTTTTGGCTACGCCTGTGGCGGGACACGCATACCCCGCGTCGCCCGGTCGCCTGTCTGGCTGCCTCCCAAGCTGTCCCTGGCCCATGTGGAATGTCCAGGCACAACCTGTCCCCAACTAACCGCCCTCCTCCCTCCCCTTTCCCCGAGCCGTGCTCCCCAACCCATCGAATGGCACCGCCATCCCCGTGCTGGCCCAGGCCAGAAAACAGCCGCAGAAAATCGCCTACTATGAGCCAGGTACTGTCTGGGTGCTGGCGATTGATATGCAAGCGAACAAACTGACAACCTTCTGCTCACATGGAATTTAAATTCTATTTTGGTGGTGGGAGGGGGTCCAGATAATGCACAGAGAATATCAGAGGGTGACAAGCGCTACTGAGAAAAAGCAGAGAAGGGGTAGGAATTACATGGGGGCAGAATGTAGTTGAAAATAGGAAGGTCAGAGAAGTCCTCACAGAGAAAATGACACTGAGCAGAATAGAAGTGTGGAATCAAGAGTCAAGGCGCCCAGATACAAGAAGCAGAGTGCACAGAAAGCCAGCCTGTGGGTAATTTATCTGATAAGCCAATTTCTTGCAAGATATTAATAACTGCTAAAGGTGTTAAACCCTGCTGTATTATGCCCTGGCCAATGCTGCTCAGTAGTTAGAGCATTGTCCTTGCACTGAAGGGTCATGGGTTCGATTCTCAGTGAAGGTTGTGTACCTAGTTGCAGGTTTCATCTTTCGCCCCTATCGAGGTACATTCAGGAGGCAACCAATCGATATCTCTTTCACATTGATGTTTTTCTCTCTCCCTTCCTCTCTCTCTAAAAAAAAAATAAATGGAAAAAATATCCTTGGGTGAGGGCTAACAACAACAAAAAATCCAACTGTATTATGACCAGGGTGATGCTGATCCCAAAGTATTGGTGCTATAATGGAATTTAGGCAACAGAACAGACAGAAAACAAGGGAGCTATTGCTGTGCTTCCAGTTTGTCCAGCATTGTTCCATCCATCCCATCCTCTACATCTGTGGCTCAGCTCACAGAGCATGATGATACCCAAGAGAGCTCTGTCCTCCACTCCCAGTTGGAGAAAGAATCTGCATGGAAGCGGTGACAAGGAAGTGGGGAGGAAGGCACTCCCAGATTCCTAGCCTGCTCTGTAGCCCAGTCTGTTCTTTGGCTCCCCAGAGTCCCCACCAATGCCCAAGCTTTGGAGAATCACAACAACCTGCTAATCAGAACTAGAGGATCATCTACTGAGGCTCCTGACCAAGGATCCAAAAAACCTCTTTGTTTGATAGAAGAGGCATTGTCTCACTCACATTGTCTAAGGGACTCTTAAAAAAAAAAAAAAATATATATATATATATATATATATATATATATATATATATATATATAATTGATTTTAGAGGGGAAGGGAGAGGGAGAGGGAGAGAGAGATAGAAACATCAACGATGAAAGAGAATCACTGATCGGTTGCCTCCTGCACAACCCCCCACCAGGGATCAAGCCCGCAACCTGGGCATGTGCCCTTGACTAAAATCAAACTTGGGACCTTTCAGTCTACAGGCTGATGCTCTGTCCACTGAGCCAAACTGACTAGGGCATCTAAGGGACTCTTAATTCCA